TTCCTCACGGACGCTGCCTGGGTGGGAAGTAGCTTTTTGTGAAGGGGAACAGGCTGTCTTCACGGCTCCCTCTCCCACAGAGGTGATTCTTACCCAGCTGAACAAATCTATTGAAACGCCCTCAGGGAAAGAAGAAGCCTGCACTGGAACCCTTCTCTAGGACCTACACAAAAACACATCATTGTGGCCAAGCCCTCAACCCCCGATTGGCTTGAAATGTGGGGAGGATCGTCTGCGTTGGGCTCCACTCGTTCTCCGGGCCGGCAGGGTGGGTCGCCCTGATCTTTTTGCCATATTCTGCGTGGGGCGGACTGTCGCAAGGCGGGCAAGGATGTGTCCTGGGGCTGTCACTGCTCTGAGCCTGCTTCCACCCCTTGACAGCGTGGGGTCTTGGAACACTCCACAGGGCTTTGCTGCAGAGCCGGCCATGCTGTTGCTGGAGCCTGATCTTCGAAAAGGAGCTGCCAGGCTGTTTGTGGGCACAGCAGTTAGGGAGGGGAGCAGCCCCTGTCCTACCTCTAGGGCCCTACCAAATTCTTGGCCATGAAAAACGCTTCAGACAGTGAAATCTGGTCTTTTGGGGGCTTTTACCCTATACTATACAGATTTCAGGGGGGGAGACCAGCATTTCTCAAACGGGGGGTCCTGGTCCAAAAGGGAATTGCAAGTGGGTCACGGTATTGCCACCCTTACTTCTGTGCTGCCTTCACAGCTGTGTTGACTGGCCACCCAGCTCTGAAGGCAGCACTCTTCCAGCAGCAGTGCAAAAGTAAGGGTGGCCGTACCATTCCATAGCACCCTTACTTCTACGCTGCTGCCTTCAGAGCTGGGCGGCTGGAGAGTAACGGCTGCTCACTGAGGGCCCCACTGTGCAGGTAGCAGCGCAGAAGTAAGGGTGTCACTCCAGGCCACTGCCTGCTCCAGCCCTCCCCCTGGTCTGTTACTCCAGGTCAGTGACCGCTCAGCCCCTCCCCCTGGTCTGTCACTCCTGGCCAGTGCCCGCTCAGCTCCTCCCCCTGGTCTGTCACTCCAAGCTAGTGTGCACTCGGCCCCGCCCCCTGTCTGTCACTCCAGGCCAGTGCCTGCTCAGCCCCTCCCCGGTCAGTCCCGCCCCCTGTCTGTCACTCCAGGCCAGTGCCGGCTCGGCCCCGCCCCCTGTCTGTCACTCCAGGCCAACGCCCGCATGGCCCCGCCCCATTCTGTCGCGCTGCGGGCTGCGATTGGCTGGCTCGCTGAGCGCCGACCGCTCCCATTGGCCGGCGCGGAGCGGGCGGTCCCATCCCTCGGCCAGGCTCGGCGCGCGCCGCGGCGCCCTGCGGAGCGGCAGTTTGTGGCGCGGGGCGCGCGGGCGGGATGTGGGCGCTGGGGCCGCGCGCGCTGCGGGCCGGGCTGGCGCTGCTGGGCCTGGCGCTGCTGGGCCAGGGGCTGCGGAGCTGGGTCGCCTCCCGCCCCTTCGAGTTCCGGCCCGAGGAGATCGCGGAGCTCGGCCGGCACCAGGCGGGTGAGTCCGGGCACAGCCACGGCCCGGGGCGGGCGCGGGACGTGGGTTTCCTGGGCGGTGGGGCCCGCGGGGCAGGGACTTGGGGGGACCCATGGGGCAGGAGGGCGGGGAGTCTGGGGGGGGCCCATGGGGCAGGAGCTCGGGTGCGGGGAATGGGGGGACCCATGGGGCAGGAGCTTGGGGGGACCCATGGGGTAGGCGCTCGGGTGTGGCGAATGGGGGGACCCATGGGGCAGGAGCTTGGGTGTGGGTGATGGGGGGGACCCATGGGGCAGGAGGGTGGGGAGTCTGGGGGGGGACCCATGGGGTAGGCGCTCAGGTGCGGGGAATGGGGGGACCCATGGGGTAGGCGCTCGGGTGCGGGGAATGGGGGGACCCATGGGGCAGGCACTCAGGTGCGGGGAATGGGGGGACCCATGGGGCAGGAGCTTGGGTGCGGGCGATGGGGGGGACCCATGGGGCAGGCACTTGGAGGGTCTCAGGGGACCCATGGAGCAGGAGCTGGGGGGGAAGTAGCAGAGAATAGCTGGGGTGGAGCGGGGGCATGTTAGATCCTGTCTCTAATGTCTGATTCCCTGAATGAAGCCGTGGTCCCGTTCTGGGTTCGGTGGCTTGCAGGGCTTTGGAGCTGTGCTCCGGCTCCGCTCCAGCTCTAGGCAAAAACCTGCAGCTCCACTGCTCCGGAGCTGCTCCACGCTCCAGCTCCGGGCTCCACTCCAAAGCCCTGGTGGCTTGTATTGGTGGGAGCCAGGGAGGTGGCAGGTTTATGGGCAGGGCCATGGGCCTCCTGCGCGGGGCTGACTTTGCCTGGGTTTGTTGGTGCTGCAGGCTTGGACCATGAGCAGGCCTTCTCCAAGATCATCGTGGAGCTGCGGAAGAAGCACCCAGGCCACATCCTGCCGGACGAGGACCTGCAGTGGGTGTTTGTCAACGCGGGCGGGTGGATGGGCTCCATGTGCCTGCTCCACGCCTCGCTCACCGAGTACGTGTTGCTCTTCGGGACGGCCGTCGACACCGGGGGGCACTCGGGTAAGCAGGGCTCGGCTACATTCAAGCAGAGAGGCTCGGGTTCTGGGGGGCTGCTGCCTTTGATTTCCTGTGGTAAACCATCAGGGGGACAGCAGGTGTCTGGGGCAGGGGAGCTGCAAGTCCCAGCCAGGTAGCGCCGAGATGCACTTTGATCCTTCGCCAGAGCAGAAGCAGAAGCTGGACACATCAATGTGGTCAGCAGCACTATTCCTCCACCTTGTACTGCCCATTAGCTGTTGCTAGTCTTGATGGTCTCGGGACCATGAGTCAGTCTGGCCGCACCTGCTCAAGCTAGTGCCCACGAGGTATGCTGTTGTGTGTGCACAGCTCTGTACCTTAACAATGACATGCTAGTTAATTGAGGGGGGAGGAGATGCCACTAGCCAAATGCAGAGAGCTGGAAGGTCTTGGAGAACCAGGAGAGCAGAAGTATCAGGAACTTTATTCCCTGGAGCTAAGAGCTAGCCTTTCCGGATGCCGCTTTCTGTCTGTGCAGTCCTGGCCCTGCCTCCCACTGGGCATTGCAAGCAGTGGAGAGAAGCAGCCAAGGATAAGACAAGGAGGTGGTTACCTTTGTGCTTGTGTGTCCTGTCCAGATGGCTGTATTTACTATAGGTCCCTCCGAGGTGGGCTCAGGGTTTTCTGACCATTTAATAGTCCCGTGAGCGGTCTTTGGTAGCTGCCCGTGTTTAAGCCCCTGTGTCCCGTTGACTGACTCAGGTCACAGCAGCCTCTCCCAAAAGGCAGAGAGGGCAACAAACCAGGGTAACTGGCTAGCAGGATTAAAAGGGGCTAAATCCTCCACTGTATGATGTATCAGTACAACAGAAGCATCTTCTCTCCCGTGGGTGGTGGTAATGTCTCGCTCTGGTCACGCACTCTCCAGCCACACACTTTACAAGGAGGGGAGGGTCCGTGTTGCTCTGCCCAATGTACAGATGGGGAAACAGGCACAGAGAAGGGCAGCTAGCAGGTCCATGGCAGAGGTGAGAATGGACCCCAGGTCTCCTGAGTACCAGCCCAGTGCCTGGTCCCTTAGGCCAGTCCATCTCTCAGTGGGTGGTTCCAGGAGCAGGCTTGTTGTAGCGCCTGCCGGTGTAGTTTCATACACATTAATAGTCAGCAGCCACAAACCAGCTTCACCTGCTCAGCAAGTAGAAGCGTTTCCCTGTGGGTGCAGCTTGTTTTCCCCCCCGTGTTAGCGTGAGAACAGGGAGGTGGGATGGGGGAGCGGGAGGCCTTAATATCCAGGTCTCCAAGACCTTGTGCAACAATCCCTTCCACCCACAGCTTGGATCTGGCTGCTTGCTGTGTCCCCATGTGCCCTGCCAAGGACAGGAGCCTGCCCACCCATGTGCTGCCACTTCCCGCTCCCCTCTCCATGCTGCCCCCTATGCGTACAACTTCCCAGTGCCTTGCCCACAAGAGTGGCTGGGTCAAGGGTGGAGGGTTGCCAAATCGCTGCTTGTGGCAGCCGAGCCGAGCCTGCCTTCTCCTCTTCTAGCCTCAGCACCACAGGGCGTACAAGCACGGGTGGCCTTGGCTGCAGCATCCACAAACCCTTGCAGAGTCTGGCGATGTGGGTTAACCAATGTGATTCAGCCCCAAGCCATGGGGAGTCTTTCCACTGACTTCAAAGGGCGCTGAACCAGGCCCGCAAAATTGTGGGCAGGCATCTTGTCTCAGAGCAGCCCAGCAAAACCTGTACTGCTCCCCTCGAGGCTTCTAGCCCAAACAGGTCCCGAGCAACAGGACTTCAAAGTGACAGTGTTGGGGTTCCCATCTCGCTTGGCTTTTCCCCTCGGTTTCAGAGGGGTTTATGTAGCTGGCCTCTCAGCAGCAGCTGCAGCCAGAAACCCAGCACACTTTGTTTTTTACAGACCAGCTTCCAAACAGCGAGTGGTGGGTCTTCCCTCTGGTGGCTAGCGAGGGCTTGGCTGCCAAGCTCTGAAATTGAGGGTGGAGCTCCAGCGGTGAGAAATGCCTGGTGTGGGAATGATGTGGCTTGAGATATCTGGGCTGCCAGGGATAGGAGCACTCCAATTCCACTGAGAACCAGCAAGCTGGGATGTGTTGCAAGGTCCTGGACTTGGCCCAGGGCCCTGTCAGGGCTCTTTGACATTGGTCCAAGACTGAAACTAGCAACTCCAGGCACTTGGAATAGCGTAAACCACCACTCCCTACCCATATGAGTGTTGAAGCCTGCTGATGTTTTAGGTTTGTTCTGTGACAGCTGAGCCAAGGCACAGAGCAGCCCTCGGGGCTCGTCAGGCACTAGCAGTGGGCTGTGTTGCCCCATTGCTCGGATTTCACGTGTGTGCCTCTCTCGCAGGTCGGTACTGGGCTGACATTGACTACGCCATCATCTCAGGGACCTTCAGGCAGTGGAAGGAGGGGACGACCAGAAGTGAAATCTATTACCCAGGTGCGTGTGGCACTGTCGGCGTCAGCCCCACACACTCGCGCTCGGAGGCCTCCCCTGGGTGGCTGCCTTTGCAGGGCTGGTTGCCTTGGGCTTTTCACGTAGCGATTTGAACAGGTAACACTAGAGCCTCGTTAGCTCTAGCCCCAGGACACAGGGAAACATACCGGGGACAGCAGATTAGCCTGCAGAACACCACACCTCTAGATCTCATGGAGGCCAAGAGGCGAGCAGGATTCAAGGAAAGCGTACACGCTGACGGGTAACGAGCACATCTCCACTCCCAGCAGGTGATTAAAAGAAAATGGAGAGGGTTATAAAGCCCCCTGGTTCAGAGCAGGAGCTGTGTGTCAGGAGGAAACTGCCCCTGTGGGAAGGCTGTTCCATTATTTTCCACTAGGGGACATCCTTGCATCTTCCTTGGAAGCAGCTGGTACTGGGCACTGTCAGGGACAGCCTTCTGGATTAGCTGCCCTGCCCTTGGCCTGGCAGTGAGCGCCTCCCATGCCCCTTGTCCTGGGCTGCTCAGCACCCTGCAGGATCAGGCCCACAAAGAGCTCTGTGTGCTGTCTCTGGAGACCTACTGGGAGAGGCGCTCTGGGACTGATGTTGTTCTGGCATTCAGAATAATGGCCAGTGCTCTGTCTGTCTATCTGCCTGCAGGGGACACCATAGTGCAGAAATCCGGAGAGGCCACGGCTGTCCAGTGGAGCGCCGGCACCTGGATGGTGGAGTACGGCCGTGGCTTCATCCCCCCCTCACTCGTGTTTGTGTTGGCCGACACCATCTTCAGCACTCAGGACGTTGTCACTTTCTTCTGCACCCTCCGGGTTTGTGCCAAAGCCTTGCTCCTGGAAGCCAGTACCTACTTCAGCCAGCTGGCCCAGTGAGACCACTCTCCGCAAGCACCAACACAACCTCAAAGGAAGGGATTCCCCTTTCCCATCCCCCACCACCTCCTGCAGATTGTACCAGAAAGGCAATGGGCAAGAGCACCTCTGTCCCCATGTGCAGGTGTGCCAGGTAGGCTGAACGTTCGCCGTATCCACCTGCCGCAGCGAGCACTCAGCCGGGGGAGAAACAGGCAATAACGGATAATGGATAAACCTAGATCACTATTTTTTTAATATCCAAATGTTCCTCTACACTTCTGTAACTAGACTGCAGCGACTGAGCTGCCGTGTGTGTGTGTGTGTCCCTGTGCCCTCGGTCGGCAGCAGGCAACGCTAGCCTGCGTGTGCGTGAGAGAGACCCGTGGCTCTGCAGTCAGCTGCCCTCTGTTGCCTTTTGTTGCTGTCTCTCGTGTTCTCTGAAAGTCGGGGGCCTATGAAAAACCAATCGGGGGGGAGGGGGATGTGCGATATGATCGAAACCATTCCCAGCAGGGGTATACCTAGCATAGGACCAACTGCTGAGCTCACGCGTCCCCAGATGAACCTGGAGTAACTGCAGTGGAGTAATTGGGGTTCAGCTAGTTACTGAAGACTGTGGAGCAGGAAAGCAGCTGTTCCAAACCGGTGGGCTGCTTTCCCCATAGGGCCTCACAGCTGTTACTCCTGGGGAAATTTTGCGCCACTGCGCATGCGCAGAAACATATCCCCCCGCAGCTTCTCTTTGCTTTGCCGCAGAAAAATGGTTTTTGTGGGGAAGCAAAAAGAAGCTGCACCAGCGCTCACTCCCCAGCAGCGTGGGTGCATGTGTTCAGGCACCCAGAGCAGCCGGGAGAGAGGTAAGTCACCGTGGGGCAAGGGCATGGGGCAGTCTGGGGATTCCCTGGCCACCCAGGGACGCTAGTCCTGTCTGGGGGGGATGGGAGGGAGGAGGAAAAATCAAACTGAAAGCAGCCCTTTAAGCTTTTTTTAGCAGTGTGCTCATGCACAGAGAAGAGGATTGGATGACCAAAAGTCAATCAATCACGCTTTCTGTCGGAAAATTTAAAAACAAAAAAAGAGGGAGCCCCGCCCCCGGGAAAGCCCCAAAACAAGCAGCAAGCAAAATATAGACACAATAGCCTAATAGAACAATTACACAAAGAAAGAAGCCCAAATCTGCTTACTGTGAGTGGGCTTGGCAACTGGAGGTGAGGCTTTGTGGGAGCTGGGCAGATGGGGAGCAGCTCCCTATACAGGGACCCCTCCCCCCACTTACTGGCCCCATCGCTCCTCGGCCACGGGAAGAGGGGTCACTATAGGGGGATCTCCTCTCTCTGTCTGCCCAACACCCTGTGTATCTGGACCCCCTGCCAAGCCTTACCCACGTTGCACTGGGAAACCCCTCCTGCATCAGGAGCCCACCCACTCCCCCAGAGCCTCACCCCCTGCATCGGGAGCTCCGCACAGCTAGACCTCCACCCCACTGATCTCAACCAGCTGCATCCTGACCCACACATTCCCCCAGCACCCAGGTTCCCCTCTCCTGCTGAGCCCTAACCACCTGGAGAGTGCTATTCCCCCTGCACCCAGAATCCCCCAGTGACTTGCTGTGTATCCAGATCCTTCCCCCCCCCCGCACCAAGCTGTCCGCACCGAGATTGCACCACACAACCTTGGTGGGGAAATTCTGCACCAAAAAAATTCTGCGTATTTTAGTTGTCAAAATAACTACTGCTGGGGGAATTCCGCACCACTGTGCCTGCGCAGAACCATCCCCTGGCAGAGTCTCTCTGCTTCCTGCAAAAAAATGGTTTCTGTGGGGAAGCAAAAAGCAGCTGCACCAGCGCTCACTCACCCCTCCCCAGCAATGTAGGCGCCTCTGTTCGGGTAGCCGGGGGAGAGGTAAGTCACCCTGGGAGAGGTGGTCTGGGGATGTCCTGGCTGCCCAGGGCCGTTAGTCCTGGGTGGGCAGGGGAGAGGAGGACGATGACAACAGAGTCAGAGCTCCCCCTTCCTCTCCCCTGCATGAAGCAACCAGAGCTGGGTCAGAAACCCCCCAGCTGCAGGAAGCTCTGCACCGTGGGGGGAGGAGGTGTCTGGGTGCAGGGGGTGAGGCTCAGTGCTGGGGGAGTTCCAGGTGCTGGGGGGTGTTTGAGTGCAGAGGGGACCAGACATAGGTGCTGACTTTTATCTGCCCTCGATCTGCCTCTTTCTGCCCCACTCCATCCCATCCCCAAGGCCCCCACCCACCCAGCTCTCACGCACTCCCTGAGCCACCAATCAGTGGTGTGGTGGCGCTGCCAATCTAGTGGGTGCTGAGCACCCACTGTAATTTTTCTGTGGGTGCTCCACAGAATCAGTGCCTATGCAGCTGGATACACAAGTATTGGTTTCAAAGTAGCAGCCGTGTTAGTCTGTATCTGTAAAAACGAACAGGAGTACTTATTAGAGCATAAGCTTTCGTAGGCTACAACCCACTTCTTCGGATGCATATAGAGTGAAACATATATTGAGGAGATAAATATACACACATACAGAGAGCATGAACAGGTGGGAGTTGTCTTACCAACTCTGAGAGGCCAATTAAGTAAGAGAAAAAAACTTTTGAAGTGATAATCAAGATAGCTCAGTACAGACAGTTTGATAAGAAGTGTGAGAATACTTACAAGGGGAGATAGATTCAATGTTTGTAATGGCTTAGCCATTCCCAGTCCTTATTCAATCCTGAGTTGATTGTGTCTAGTTTGATATGCAAGCTGAGCTTCATCCTCTCCATCAGGAGCCCCCCACACCCAGAACTCCCCCACCAAACCCCCGATACCCAAATCCACACACCCCTGAGTCTCAGCCCCTGCATCGGCAGCCCCTGCATCGGCAGCCCCCCCACCCCACTGACCCCAGTAAGCTGCACCCTGACCCCAACCCCACCAAGCCCCACTTCCCTAGCATCCAGTCCCCGCTGAGCCCCCCACACTCCCCCACTGAGCTCTCACCACCTTCACCTGGACTCGCCTGCAGAGTCCCATTCCCCCTGCACTCAGAACCCCCCAATGAGCCCCTGTGCATCCAGATCCCCGCCAGGCCTCCCACCGAGCTGTCCGCACCCAGATTGTACCCCACAGAACCCTGGTGCTCTGGAGAGAATTCGGCACCAAAAATAAACAATTCTGTGCCTACAAATGTTAAAATTCTGCATATTTTATTTGTGAAAATAACACAGTAACAGTATAATCACACCAATACTTGCTGACAAGTATTTTGAAATAAATTATCAAAACAATTGAAAATGGTGTGGTTATATTGTGTTATTTTGACAAATAAAATATGCAGAGTTTTGCAGAATTTTTAATTTTTTGGTGCAGAATTCCCTCAGGAGTATTTTACAAACCTTTGGTCTCTTACTACAAAGGGGTGGCCCCTGGAAACTACAGGTCCCAGCATGCAATGCAAGCAATCTAAGATGCCGTGTTATATGCTGGGGCCTGCAG